GACTGGCTTTCTGTTTCTATTATTTTGGTCCAAATGGATGAGTTTGACCCTAAAGGAAGGTGTTGTTTATATTCTGCAGACAGAAGTCTTGAGAATCTCATGTAGTCTTTGGTTATGACCCTAACCCTCTAGAGTTGAGAATCTGATGTATTCGTTGGTTCTTGGCATCTTGCTGCTTCGAGCCCCTGGCAGACGTCACGCTGCGTATAGCCACTCTGCCATCCATCACTCTGGCCTGCTGGGGCGACGCGGTTATCTCTCCCTCTCTCTCTCTCTCAACATTTCAAAGGGGCTTTATTGGCATGCGAAAAGTGTTTACATTGCCAAAGCAAGTGAAATAAATAAAAGTGAGAAGACCCAAAACAATATAAACCAAAAACGATTAGAAATTAACAGTAAACATTGCACTCACAAAGGTTTGAAAATGATGAAGACATTTAATGTGTTATATTATCAACTATGTACAGTGTTTTAGCAATGTGCAAATAGTTGTAGTGCAAATAGTAGGGGAAGATAAATATTGGTGGTATTTACAATGTTTGTGCTTCACTGGTTGCCCTTTTTTCTCATGGCAACAAGACACTAATCTTGCTGCTGTGATTGCACACTGTGGTATTTCGCCTAACAGATATGGGAGTTGATCAATGTTTGATTTTATAGATTTGTTTTTGTTGTGGGTCCGTATGATCTATGGGAAATATGTGTCTCTAAGGTGGTTATACATTTGGCAGGAGGTTAGGAAGTGCCGCTCAGTTTCCACCTCATTTTGTGGGCAGTGTGCACGAAGCCTGTCTTCTCTTGAGCCAGGTCTGCCGATGGCGGCCCCTCTCAATAGCAGTCTGTACATAGTCAAGGATTTTCTTAATTTTGGGTCAGTCACTGTGGTCAGGTATTCTGCCACTGTGTACTCTCTGTTTAAGGCCAGATAGCGTTCCAATTTGCTCAATTTTTTGGTTCATTCTTTCCAGTGTGTCAATTAGTTATCTTTTTGCCTTCTCATAATTTGGTTGGGTCTAATTGTGTTGCTGTCCTGGGGCTCTGTGGGGTCTGTTTGTGTTTGTGAATAGAGCCCCAGAACCTGGGGCTGAGGCTGAGGGGCATCTTTTTTAAGTGGATCTCTCTGTAGGTGAGGGCTTTGTGATGGAATGTGTAAGCATTCCATCACTCTGTCTCTGTCGCTCTCTCGGTCTCTGTCTGTCTGTCTGTCTGTCTGTCTCTGTCTGTCTGTCTGTCTCGGTCTCTGTCTGTCTGTCTCGCGCTGTCTGTCTGTCTCGCGCTGTCTGTCTGTCTGTCTGTCTCGCGCTCTCTGTCTGTCTGTCTCGCGCTCTCTCTCTGTCTGTCTGTCTGTCTCGCGCTCTCTTCTGTCTGTCTGTCTCGCGCTCTCTGTCCTGTCTGTCTGTCTCGCGCCTCTCTGTCTCGTTCTGTCTGTCTCGCGCTCTCTGTCTGTCTGTCTCGCGCTCTCTGTCTGTCTGTCTGTCTCGCTCTCTGTCTGTCTGTCTGCTCTGCGCGCTCTGTCTGTCTGTCTGCGCTCTCTGTCTGTCTGTCTCGCGCTCTCTGTCTGTCTCGCGCTCTCTGTCTGTGTCTGTCTCGCGCTCTCTTCTGTTGTCTGTTCCTGTCTCTGTCGTCTCTGTCTCGCGCTCTCTGTCTGTCTCGCGCTCTCTGTCTGTTGTCTGCGCTCTCTGTTCTCGTCTGCGCTCTCTGTCTGTCTGTCTGTCTCGCTCCTTCTGTCTGTTCTGTCCCTGTCTGCGCTTCTCTGTTGCTCTTGTTCTGTCTGCGCTCTGTCTGTCTGTCTGTCTCGCGCCTTCTCTGTCTGTCTGTCTGCGCTCTTCTGTCTGTCTGTCTGCGCTCTTCTGTCTGTCTGTCTGTCTCGCGCTCGTCTGTCTTCTCGTCTGTTGTCTGTCTGCGCTCTCTCTGTCTGTCTGTCTGTCTCTCGCGCTCTCTGTCTGTCTGTCTGTCTGTCTCGCGCTCTCTGTCTCTGTCTCGCGCTCTCTGTCTGTCTGTCTGTCTCGCGCTCTCTGTCTGTCTGTCTGTCTGTCTCGCGCTCTCTGTTCTGTCTGTCTGTCTGTGTCTCGCGTCTCTGTGTCTCTGTCTGCGCCTCTGTCTGTCTGTCTCGCGCTCTCTGTTCTGTCTGTCTGCGCTCTCTGTCTGTCTCGTCTCTGCTGCTCTCGGCTTATGTGCTGTCTGTCTCGCGCTCTCTGTATGTCTGTTGTTCTGTCTGTCTGCGTCGTCTGTCTCGCGCTCCTGTTTCTGTCTGCGCTCCTGTCGTGCTGTCTCGCTCTCTGTGTCTGTCTGTCTCGCGCTCTCTGTCTGTCTGTCTCGCGCTCTCTGTCTGTCTGTCTCGCGCTTCTGTTCTGTCTGTCTGCGCTCTCGTTCGTCTGTCTGTCTCGCGCTCTCTGTCTCTGTCGTCTCGTCGCGCTCTCTGTCTGTCTCGCGCTCTCTGTCTGTCTTCGCGCTCTCTGTCTGTCTGTCTGTCTGTCTCGCGCTCTGTCTCTGTCTGCTGCCTCTCGTGTCTGTCTGCGCGCTCTCTGTCTGTTCTCGCGTCTCGTCGTCTGCGCCTCCTCTGTCTGTCTGTCTGCCTCCCTCTGTCGCTCTCTCTGTATGTCTGTCTGTCTGCGCTCTCTGTTATGTCTGTCTGTCTCGCGCTCTCTGTCTGGTCTGTCTGTCTGCGCCTTCGTAGTCTGTCTGCTCGCTCTCCTGTCTGTCTCTCGCGCTCTCGTCTGTCCGCGCTCTGTCTCGCGCTCTCTGTCTGTCTCGCGCTCTCTGTCTGTCTCGCGCTCTCTGTCTGTCTCGCGCTCTCTGTCTGTTCTCGCGCTCTGTCCTGCTCTCGTCTGTCTGTCTCGCGCTTCTTCTGTCTGTCTCGCGCTCCTTCTGCTCTGGTCTGTCGCGCCTCTGTCTGCTGTCTGCCTCTGTCTCTCGCCTCTGTCTGTCTCGCGCTCTCGTCGCTGTCTGTCTCGCGCTCTGTCTGCGCTGTCTCGCTCTGTCTCGCGCTTCTCGTCGCCTGTCTGTCTGTCTCGCCTCTGTCGTCTCGCGTCTGTCTGTCTCGCGCTCTGTCTGCTGCTGCGCTCTGTCTGTCTCGCGCTCTGTCTGTTCTCGCCTCTCTGTCTCTGCTGCTCTGTCTGTCTCGCGCTCTCTGTCTGTCTCGCGCTCTGTCTGTCTGTGCGCCTCTGTCTGTCTGTCCTCGCGCTCTCTGTCTGTTCGTCTCGCCTCTGCGTGCTCTCTGTCTGTCTCGCGCTCTCTGTCTGTCTCCCTCTCTGTCTGTCTCGCCTCTCTGTCTGTCCCTCTGTCTGCTCGCGCTCTGTCTGTGTCTGTCTCGCCGCCTCTGTCTGTGTCTGTCTCGCCCTCTCTGTCTGTGTCTGTCTCGCCCTCTCTGTCTGTGTCTGTCTCGCCCTCTCTGTCTGTGTCTGTCTCGCCCTCTCTGTCTGTGTCTGTCTCGCCCTCTCTGTCTGTGTCTGTCTCGCCCTCTCTGTCTGTGTCTGTCTCGCCCTCTCTGTCTGTGTCTGTCTCGCCCTCTCTGTCTGTGTCTGTCTCGCCCTCTCTGTCTGTGTCTCTCGCCCTCTCTGTCTGTGTCTGTCTCGCCCTCTCTGTCTGTGTCTGTCTCGCCCTCTCTGTCTGTCTCGCGCTCTGTCTGTCTGTCTGTCTGTCTGTCTGTCTCGCGCTCTCTGTCTGTCTCCTCCCCCTCTCGCTCCTCTCTCTCTTCTCCCCCTCTCGCTCCTCTCTCCTCCCCCTCTCATCCTCCTCTCTCACTCCTCCCCCTCTCTCTCCTCCCCCTCTCTCTCCTCTCTCTCTCTCTTGCTGTCAACTCCCCTCTCTCTCTCCTCCCCCCTCCTTCCTCCCCACCTCTCTCACTCGTCTTCCTTCCTTCTCTGTATTTTTCCACTGTTGGGGTTGGAGTGGAAGGGGGCAGGATTGATGAAGAGGGTCACATTTCACTCCCCTTATCTTTTAATAGCCTCTCTTTGTGTTGGCTGCACCTGATAGGAATACAATACAGCTGCGGCCCTGCTTCAAACGCAGCCGTCAAGCCTGCTGTCACCTCCCTCTGGTGCCTTGCTGATTTGATAACGCCATCCTCTCATCTCCTCTGCATAGTTCACTTACAGCAGGATGCTTCAGCAGGGTTACTAGGTTCACTTACAACAGGGTGCTACTCAAGCTGACAGGGATGCAGTGGGCAGAACAGAGAGAGCAACAGAGCAGAGCAGCCAGTGGAGTCTAAGCAGAAGGCTGGAGTCCAGCTGCCGGAAACCCCAATGTATCCCTCCCAGGGTCTCAGTCCAGACATTCCCTCTGTTTTGACTACACACACAACATTTAGATTTTACTACACACACAACTTTTACATTTTACTACTACACACATGTATATAAACATGTATAAAGTTTGTTCCTGTTCAGGTTGATCCTAGTCTGTATCATGTTCGGGGGGGGGGGGGGCAGCACTAAAACTAGGGCAAGAAAACAAAGTGGAGAGAGGGAGTCGACTCTGCTTCTTCCGCTGGTGGGTCTGGATGGCTTTATTCCCCCAGCTGCCATTATTCCCCCAGCTGCCATTAGCCAGTGAGGTCCCCGATGTAACCCAAACTATCTACATTACAGAGCTCTCATGTTCAGCAGGGGTTCTCAGATCTGCAGGGGGAAAAAACGTATTTTAGGCATTAAAGGCGAATTAAAGAGCTTAAGGAAACCATACCAAATAAAACTGCCTTCATGTGCTGGGATGGGGTTTCAAGTAGTAACCCATTTTATGTAGTGTTTTGTACATACAGCAGTTGTCTCTGAAATGAAAACCTCACTCTCCATGTTAGGGCGTGGATGGCTTTTTCGTCTGTTGTTGAAGCTGACAATCTTTGTTTTTTTGCCCTGTGAGAAGAGTGTTTGTCTATAACTAGCTGATTTGAAAGTACAGCTACCCTGTATAGGCTTTAATGAATGGCAGCAATTTCCACATAGCATTTAGTCCTAACCCTAACTCTTTACTTTTATAGCTGTTTCAGCGTGTGAATGTTTGCTAGGAGTTTTTACTTCTTCAATGTGAAGGCGCAGCTCCAGAGAGAGTGTGTGTGTGTGTGTGTGTGTGTTAGAACACAGAATCACTGCACTTCAGTATGTGAATAAACAACTCCATGTTCCTGATCTCTCTCTCTCTCCCGCCTCCCACTCTCAGGTCTCTAAAGTGAACGGAGCCACACGGGCGTCCCAGGCAGGCGTGCACACGGCCGGTGCCAAAAAAACTAAAGACTTCAGACTGCCGTCTAAAACTGTGAATGGCCATGTCACATACACCAAAGGAAAACGAGAACTGGTCAAGAAAACCAAACTGAACCAGCGCAAACACAGCACTGCTGCTGCCCATAGAGCCCATAGCAACAATCACCACCACAACCACCTCCAGCGCCACCAGCAACTCCCCCTCTCCAACTCAGGAAAAGCCCAGAATAGCAAAGCAAAAACAAGCAAACAGGTGCTATTATCCAATGTGGTGCACAAGGTGGCCAAAGGCGGCGGAGTGCGCCTCAACGGCCGGCTCAACGGGCGCCTCTGTGCCAAGCAGGAGGTGGGCAGGCAGGGGCGTGAGGGGCTGAGGAACTCCAAGCGGAGGCTGGAGGTGGCGGTGGCGGCCATCGGGGCGGTGGCTGACTCCCAGGGTAAGCTGGTCATCCTGGAGATTAACCCCAACCCTAAGAAGACCAAACAAAACCAGAGCAGCCCTCTGGAGACACGCAGTAAGAAAGCCTGTCAGGACAAGGCCTCGGTCCCTAACGGACACATCATCATGGAAACCACCCCTCCCCCCTCCCTGCTAGCCCCACCCCCTCCCTCCACACCACTAGCCAATCCAGAGCCAGGGCGCCAGCGGCCCAAGCGGGCGTCAGCCGGCAAGCTGATGTTCATCAGACAAGCACAACAGCGGGCACAGACTGCCTCTAACCCTAACTACACCCACACCCTTAACCGCTCAACTACCTCAGAGTCCCCTGGCCACACCCCCGGGCATACCCCTCACAAACCAGCAGAGCCCCGGCCTGAGAGGGAGAGGGAGAAAGATAAAGAGAGGGCGGAGAGGAGCAGGGCGAGCTGGGCAGCGTTGGGTGAGGCGCCAGTGTTCTGTCCCACCCAGCGGGAGTTCCAGGACCCCCTGGTGTACCTGGACTCTGTGCGGGAGGGGGCGGAGCCCTGTGGACTGTGTCGTGTGGTTCCCCCGGCTGACTGGCGCCCAGAGTGCAAACTGAACGATGAGATGCGCTTTGTGACCCAGGTGCAGCGCATCCACAAGCTGGGTCGTCGCTGGGGCCCCAACGTACAGAGGCTAGCCTGCATCAAGAAGCACCTCAAATCTCAGGGCATCACCATGGAAGATCCCCCGCTCATCGGTGAGTCGAACTCATAGACTGTTCCTACTTTACCAGCAACACACACTCCTAACGCTGGTCATCAGTTAGTCTCAGACACTCACATAGGCTGGATGACTGTCACAAAACAAACCTCTTAAGCAAACATCACAAACATTGGGTCTCCAAGGTATTGACAATCCAATAAAATGTTTGTTGCATTCCACCAACCATATCTGGTATTTAAACTGTGACGTCAATATCAATGTTCAGATGTGGCCTGTATGTCTGTGAGACAATAAAACAGTATTCCCAGCAGCTTGTCTGTCACTTTAGATTTCGCACTCAGCAGCTTGATGTGTTTTAAACAGCCTCTCTCCTTAAGTCTCCCCTGGCGTCTTTCAGAGCCCAGTCAGTCTATATGGCTGAAATAAATATTTATTGAAACTGTTTGAGAATACGGCCGATGTAGTGCTATCATACTACTACACTGTTGGAGCTAGGAACACAAGCATTTCACTACACCTGTAGTAACATCTGCTAAATATGTGTATGTGACCAATACAATTTGATTTGATCATTACTGTATGAATGTTAAACTCATGGCCATTGACCCTAACCCATCTCTCTCTCCCCAGGCGGCTGTGGGGTTAGGGTTAAGGTTAGTGTTAACTCTGTATCTGACCCCATCTCTCTGTCTCTTCTCCCAGGTGGCTGCGAGGTGGACCTGGCTCGGTTCTTCCAGCTGATTAATGACATGGGCGGCATGCAGCAGGTTATGGACCTGAAGAAGTGGAGTAAACTGGCTGATCTGCTGCGGATCCCGAAGTCAGCCCAGGACCGACTGGCCAAGCTGCAGGAGTCCTACCTCCAGTACCTGCTGTCTTATGACTCTCTGACCCCCGAGGAGCACCGCCGCCTGGAGAGGGAGGTGCTGCAGGAGAAGGAGGGCCTGGAGCGCCGCAGGGGGCCCCTGGAGGGCCACACAGAGAGGAGCCTGGCCCTGCCACGCTACGAGCCCAAGAACGGGCTGGCAGGCAGTCTGGTGCAGCACAGCAACGGTCAGCTGTGCAGCCGGCTGAAGGAGCTGGACAGTCAGCAGCTCAAGGTGGGACGCCGGAGGCTGTTTGCTCAGGAAAAGAAGAATGGGGAAATTGCACAGCAGGAGGAAGAGGAGGAGGAGAAGGGGGTTCTCAGTGACCAGCACAAGTGTATTTACAAGGTGAGGCCCAGGCAACAACTTTGCACATCCTTTTTAAATCAGTGTTTTTGTTCATTCCGCTCATGCACTGCTCATGCTACAAGGGGAAGGGAAATATGGTAGTCTAGCTCCAGTCTTCCTGCCTGCCTGCTCTGTTCTGTTGTTCTAGCTGATGGAATGTAGGTCAGTGCTGAGCTGGGTGAAATGGACACACAGACAGCAGGCCTCTGCCTCTCTACTCAACATCGTTCTGCTCTGCCTCTCTCAGTGTTACCCCTGCCCAGACATCGACACACACACACACACACACACACACACACACACCACATCTTCCTGACCCAGACGTTCCCCCTGCTGCTCTTCTCATGGAAGAACCTGAGTGTGATGTTGTGCATGTTGTTTCTAACCCTCTCCTTACTATGAACCTGCTATGTGTCTGTGATCTCATGACATTTCAAACACTGTTCTAGTCTGGATTCCATTTAAATCTTTTCCCTCTTTTTTTTTTTGTAACCAAATCCCCAACACATGCATACCCATAAGATGTGAGGCTAGTGAGTTCAGTATAGTAACCTAGCTCTCACAGAGAGGAGGGGTGAGGAGAGGGTGTCTTTCAGCGGGGCATTAAATCCAGGGATGGTACAGGCAGATTTATAGACGCCATCAACGCCCCTCCATTCTGAGGAGGCGTCCCGGGGAAGATTCATATTAACTTCAGTCATGCTCAGAAACTTTCAGTACCGACATGGAGCTGCAGAGACTTGCAATACAGTACACTCAGGTCAGCCAGTCTTTCCTTTCATTTTTCATTGCAGAATTATGCCCTGGTGGTATATGGCTGTATGTTTCTCTTCAAGGCTCGTCTATAGGACGGCATTTGCTTTTACAGGGTACCTGACTTTGTTTAATGCTAGCTGTACTATCCTGATGTGGCTTCTCTTGTTGCAGGGGAAATCTGTATCTCTCACCAACTTCTTTAGGATAGCCAGGAACACCATGACCATGTGCTTTAACAAAGAGCCCGGGGCTGCTGAGGTCGAGGTAAGAATGGAACTAGTCTCAATCCCTACTGGCCTTATGTAGAGGTCATGTAGAGGTCAACTCACTACTGTAGCATACCATTGACCTCGGCACCATTTATTAGTCACTACTGTAAAAAAAAATTGTTCAGTACGCACATTTGTCTCACTTATCGTTTCTCCTTTTTTGTCTTCCTTTACAGCAAGAATACTGGAGGATAGTGGAGCAGAGGCACTGCCATGTGGCAGTGCATTATGGGAAAGTGGACACCAACACACACGGAAGTGGCTTCCCCGTGGGAAAGTCAGAGCCATTTTCTAAGTAAGAAGACCCAATGTCATCATACCCTAAACATTGTAATACATGGCGTAATAACCATAGAGAGAAAATGATATCTCTTGATTGGCCACTGTGTAATGACTGTTCTTCTCTCCCTTTCAGACATGGATGGAACCTCACTGTCCTCCCCAATAATTCTGGATCCATTCTGCGGCATCTTGGAGCTGTGCCCGGTGAGATTTCTACCCTAACCCCTCATCCTCACCCCTGAGGCACACATCTTTCTGTCGGAGACAATGTGATGCCTGTTGTGGTGTCTGCTATGTTAAAACGGATCTCTGTCTCTCTCTGTGTGTGTAGGGGTGACCATTCCCTGGCTGAACATTGGCATGGTCTTTTCTACCTCATGCTGGTCTCGAGACCAAAACCGCCTTCCATACATTGATTACTTACACACTGGTGCTGACTGCATTTGGTAAGTATCCCAACATGACCACCTCTGGCTCTCTCTTCCTCCTCACAGGTAGATGTGTACTGTACAAGGACATTACAAAGATATGTGGTTTTTCTAAGGTGACATGGAATACATGATACAAAACATGATAATGCCCTGTCATTGATAACACCCATCTCAGATCAGATTTGTAATTAGCTGATCAAATTCCACCTTCCTTGAACACACGCCAGTCTTTTGGAAATATGTATTTATGCCAAAGTGGCTCTCATTAAAGCTACATTTACTTACAACAAGAAATTACTGGGTGCTAGCGGAAACCACAGGCGTTAGTGTGTTGTGTATTGACCTGTTATGAAGGCAGTGTTTAATCTCTTTGCATTAGCTCAACTTGAATGTAATGGTAATGAAGGGGTTGAGAAAGGGCAGTGGCTGTAGACATCCACCAGCCCAACTCCTCCCTTCCTCCCCATGTGTGCTACCTGCCCATTGGTGGTGACACAGGTGAGTAGCAATGTGCTAGGAGGTTCCTGAGATGAAGGCAAGTCATAATCATCATAATTGACTGCCTGCTCTCTTGAAGATCCCCTCATATTTTCATTGTGTCTGCATGTTCTAGAGTTACAGGAAGGACTAGACAGTATGTCTGCATGTCCTAGAGTTACAGGAAGGACTAGAAAGGGCTAGACAGTCTGACTGCATGTCCTAGAGTTAAATGAAAGGGCTAGACAGTCTGTCTGCATGTCCTAGAGTTAAATGAAAGGCCTAGACAGTCTGTCTGCATGTCCTAGAGTTAAATGAAAGGGCTAGACAGTCTGTCTGCATGTCCTAGAGTTAAAGGAAAGGGCTAGACAGTCTGTCTGCATGTCCTAGAGTTAAAGGAAATGGCTAGACAGTCTGTCTGCATGTCCTAGAGTTACAGGAAGTGCTAGTTTGGGATGCCCTAGGACAAGCATAAATCTGTTACACTATTCCCAGAGGACTTAGTTGTCCAGTGAGTCTGTTAAAAAGAGATCACATTCTATTATGCAATCAAGGTGCTCCATTTGACAGATGAAACCCCAGACGGACAGACAGCTCTACCTACAGTCAGTCTACAGGCTATGATCCCCACAGGAAAGCCGCCTCTCAGGAACTCATTCTCTTTCTCAACCTTCGCTCTCGCTCTCTCTCTCTCTCTTGCTCTCTCTAACCTCTTGAGGCAGAGCGTAAGCACAGACCTAACTCTGACTGTTCAAAGCAGAGGGGTTACACTGCACAGCTGATGTCCAGCGTAACACACACACACACACACAGTTGCATGAGCCTGAGTGGTCCTCTCTCGCCTTGCCAGGTATTCTGTTCCTGCTGAGGAGAAGGTGAAGCTTGACAAGGTGGTTCACACACTGCTGCAGGCCAATGGGACTCCTGGGCTGGAGATGCTGGAGAAGAACATCATGATCTCTCCAGAGGTGCTTTGTCGGGAGGGTATTAAGGTCCACCGCACCGTCCAGCAGAGCGGTCAGTTCGTGGTCTGCTTCCCCGGGACCTTTGTGTCCAAGGTCTGCTGTGGCTACAGTGTGTCGGAAACCGTGCACTTTGCCACCCCCCAGTGGATGAACCTGGGATACGAGGCTGCTAAGGTGAGTCTGAAGCCGGAGCTGCTTTCTGCAGCCACCCTGTGGCCGTTTAGAGACATAGCTCATTGTCTACCACAGTATCTCTAGAGCAGGTCTGCACAACCCTGTTCCTGGAGAGCTGCTGTGTCCTGTAGGTTTTGGCCCCAAACGTAATTTAGCACACCTGATTCTAATAATTAGCTGGTTGATAACATGAATCTGGTTAGTTTCAACTGGGATTGGAACGGAAACCTACAGGAGGGTATTGTAGCTTTCCAGGAACAGGGTTGGGCAGCACTGCTCTACAGTCTATGCAGGTTTTTGTTCCTGTTGATTAATGGAGTGTCATGTGTAATCTGGCTAATACAAAAGGCTGTAGAATATTCTGTCAATGTTCTGTTAACCCAGTGTCTCGCTGTCTTCCCCCTGTAGGACCTGAAATGCCGGCACATAGCCAAACCCTTCTCCATGGAGAAGTTACTCTACCAGATCGCAACGGCCGAATCCAAACGCGAGAACGGACACCTTCTGACTACAATCTCCGCTCTTCTCAAAGACCTCAGGTGGGTAGCCATGGAAACCAGGCACATCAAAACATGGATGCTGTTACGGCCTCATCCTTCATCCTCTGTTGCCATGCCAGTATGATCAAAGACATAGCTCAGTCTCACTGCTCAAAGCCAGGTTGAAAAAAACCCCAAAGTCTTCTGTTTCAAATACACTCCATGCTTTAATGGATGTGCTTAGTGTCTACATCAGGGCGGTAATACCTTTAAATAATACTAACTGTTGTTTGCTGTACTGAGCTTTAATCACAAAGTTGTGAATTGTGTCGTGTTGTTCTGAATCACAGAGTTGTTGCTCTGCTCCGCTCTAATAGGAACATAGAGATGAGACAACGGCAGGAACTGTACGAGGCGGGGCTTCTGTCCTCTGCCCGCTACGGAACACATGACAACAACCTGGTGCCCGGCGACGGACGCAAGAAACCCAGGAAGTGGCTGGCGCTGGAGTCGTCAGAGAGACGCTGTCAGACCTGCCAACACCTCTGCTACCTGTCCATGGTGAGAGCTGGGCCATGGAGAATAGTGCTATGGTTATTTGGGGTTGGAGTTGGGGTTAGGACTAGAGCTGGTGCTGGTGCTGGGCAAGGGTGAATGTAGTTAACTACTCCATGTACGGGGCGGCAGGTAGCCTAGCGGTTAAGAGTATTGGGCCAGTAACCGAAAGGTTGCTTGTTCAAATCCACAAGCTGACTAGGTGGCAAATCTGTCGATGTGCTCTTGAGCAAGGCACTTAACCCTAATTGCAATTGTAAGTCGCTCTGGATAAGAGCGTCTGCTAAATGGCTAAAATGTAAATGTAAAGATGAATTTAGTTTACCACTCCATGAAAAGTTGTGTTGTGATGTCCATCCCAGGTGGTCCAGGAGAATGAGAATGTGGTCTTCTGTCTGGAGTGTGCTTTGAGATACGTGGAGAATCACAAGTCCTGCAGAGGCCTGAAGATGATGTATCGTTACGATGAGGTAAGATTCCATCCCAGCAAACCAGGAACATTCCCAGGACATTAGCTAAAATTCCCATTAAGGGCTCTATTCAATATGTATTGCTGAAGCGTTACAGATTGCGCAATATAAATGTTATGGTAATTTTTCAGATTGAGCCATCGTATGCAGCATTTACCGTGAATGCAGTCTCCGCCACCGTGGGAACATTGCCTTTAAATTTCAATTGGGCTTTAATGCTGAACTTCCGCGATACGGATTGAATAGAGGCCTAAGTTCAAGTTAGGGTTTTATCTAACATTAGGATGATAACATCCCAATAACATTCTTTGAATGTTTTTGATAACAAACATCTTCCTAACATTCACAAAATGTTGTGCACAACATCTGTAACAACCAGCACAGAACATTTCCCTAAGGTTCTTATAATGTTTCCAGGTAATGTAATAACTAAAGGTGTTCTGGGAACGTTCTTGCAATCAGGTGAATGTTTTAAACAAACATTGTACAATCATCAGCACAACTGGACAGTTTTTGTGTTATTTGAACTTTTGGGGCAACCTAATGAATGTTCTGGGAATGTTCACAGAACCAATTTTGGTTTGCTGGGATGGCCCTCTCTTATCTGAGTAGAATTGATCAGAACCTTCAATAGTGGAGTGGTGTAACATGCAATGTTTGGATGAATATGATATTTGTTCATGTGTAGTGTTCATTATAACGCAAATGTTCTCTGTCTGATCCCTCCATTCCCTGGCTGTGCCCCCCATGCCATCGCCCCCCAGGAGCAGATCAACAGCTTGGTGAAGCAGGTTTGTGGCAAGGCCCTGGGGAAGACAACTGAGAAATGTAACGGAGCAAGCCCCTTCAAACCACCACCCAAACGCGGACCCCGGAAGAGAGACACCGTGGAGGTGTCCCTGTCCCGCCTCTCCTCCTCCCACCTGTCTCCCGCAGCCGTCACATGAGGACGTTAACACCCCCCACTGCCCCTCCATCTTAGTTTCACTGTTGTCCTTTTTAAAGAAAGAACAAATATTTCCAGCATTTAATGCCCCAAATCTCCCCCACCCACACCCCTTAATATGACAAACTACCCCACCCACCCCCTTAGTATGGCAAACTTGTGAAAGCAAGCCGTCTTTTTTGCACTAGCACGGAAAACACGTTTTTCAGTTTCTTTATTTTGGGTGGGGGGGTTAGTTGATGTCGTCCTTAGCATTAATTGAAAAGTTCACAGGTAAATGTTGTGCCCCTTGCACTGCCCCCCCTCTACACTGTTTGAGGAGAGGGTCAGATTGGTCTCCCCCCCAGATGGGTGCAGTCACACCCATCGCCATCTGTCACTCAACTGTGAACAAAGGGACGAACGGAGAAGGTGCTCCTTTTTTCATTTTATTGAAATGACACAAGTAGAACCCAAAGTTTTCTCTCATCTTTAGTTTTTGAAGATGAGTTGTTTTTATTCTCCTCCTCTGTCTGCAGCAGCTCCTGTTGTTCAGGGCCTGTTGCTCCCTAACCCACGCCAGGTAAAACTTGAAAGGAAGATGTGTTTTGGCTGGCTTGTTTTATTTTGGATTTTAGCTTTGATTTTAGATTTTGAGAACGTCTTGTGTTTATTTTGTCATCGTTGTTTCCTTTTTCTTTATTGCTTGTGAAACTAGCGGTGCCGTGGCTGTATGTCAGAAACACAGCCTGGGTTGCCGTGGCTGTATGTCAGAAACACAGGTTGCCGTGGCTGTATGTCAGAAACACAGCCTGGGTTGCCGTGGCTGTATGTCAGAAACACAGCCTGGGTTGCCGTGGCTGTATGTCAGAAACACAGCCTGGGTTGCCGTGGCTGTATGTCAGAAACACAGCCTGGGTTGCCGTGGCTGTATGTCAGAAACACAGCCTGGGTTGCCGTGGCTGTATGTCAGAAACACAGCCTGGGTTGCCGTGGCTGTATGTCAGAAACACAGCCTGGGTTGCCGTGGCTGTATGTCAGAACCACAGCCTGGGTTGCCGTGGCTGTATGTCAGAAACAGACCTAGGTGCCGCTGGTCTCTGTCTCCGTAGTAGGAGGGAGGCCTCCTTCGCTAGCAAGTGAAAACTGTGCCTGATACTCAACAAAGAGATTGTTTTTGGTGCTGTTGGTTGTTATTACTGTATAACAGTAATAAGCTGGCTAACTGCTAGACTCCTCTCCCACAGGGCGGTAGCCTCTAGGCTTTCCTCTCACACAGGGTTGGTGTTCTAGGTTCTCCTGTCCCACAGGGTTAGGTTAGGGTTCTAGGCTCTCCTCTCCCACAGGGTTAGGGTTCTAGGCTCTCCTCTTCTCGATGTGCAATCATGTTAACATTCCATTCTTCCAGTCCTATTGTTTCATCTGTACCAGTAAACATTAATTATTTCATTATTATTTTCTAATTTGATTGTGTTTTGTTCTGATGTGCGAGTAGAGCCACTAGTCAAAGGGTGTGAAATGTGAAATATGGAAATCCAAGTTCTTATTTTCTTTAGGTTTTATATATATTTTTCCTTTTTCCCATTTCAGATGTATTATGAATGATTTGAGCAGATAGTCCAACACAAAAACATACATTTTTGTACATAATCCTGTAAATGTCTTTAAATACTCAAGCCTTTTCTGGGGTGAAGGAAGGAAAATGATACCTCTAAAGGTATTAGAGGAAGCAAGGGAGGAAGTGCTTGATGAAGAAAAAGCCTTACGTTTTAGTTTCTTCATCTGTGTGAGTTTGATGCTTACATAGTTGCTCTGGTTACGTGTATACATTTTAAGTGCTGCTTACATCACTGAGACAAAGATATGGAGTAGCAATGGCCCCCTAGGTTTTTTTATTTTTTTTTGCTTTACTTTTTTTAAAGAAAGGGAAAATATGTTCACAAAAAAATGTTTTTACATTTATTACTGAAAATTCAACAATGTAGTAGCTCCTCATGTTGCACTGAGCTTGCCAGTGGTGGCTGACAAGGTGATCCTATTATCCAGTTTGTTGGTTGTTGTCTTTTACAGAAGACTAAACTGTTTTAGGAATATTTCATTAAAACAAAGTTGGTCGTTTTCAACAAGAAAGTGGTTGTCAAGTTTTTATGGCCTTACAATGTATTTTATTCAGATTTCTTTGCAATTTTCTTTTTCTACAGTTTAAACTATTGCTCACTGTCTGGCAAGTTAATTTATTAGCACTGCTTCTCCATCTTTCCTTCCACTTGGAAAGATTTCATGTTGGTTATATTGCCATTTTTTTTACTTTTGCAGTTTGTACTAAAGGTTTAATAAAAACGTACAGACAATTCACTGTCTTTTCTTTTGAACCTGTGTGTGTCTGTCCTTGTGTTCTTCTGAAGATGTTATGTTACGAAACTAACTGACCATTCTACAAATAAGTATACTCACCATGTCTAGGGTTCCAAGCCTGACTAACTGGTCCATAACCTGATATAAATGTGTGCATTTAGCGTGAAACTAAAGAGTAAGCGGACAGATGTCTGTAATGTACCCAGGAAACAGCGTACTTACCAGGGCCAGGGCGAGTTCTGTCCTGACTCTCTGGACGCCAGCCCAACCAGACCATTTAAGTTCAAATGGTGACAATAATATACAAAAAGGGAAAAATCTAAAAGGCATGCCATAACAAAAAAGTGTCAAACCAACGCTGTAAGACCCCATCAGACCGAGAAGCTACTTAGTCCACCTCTCACTCTGCAATAACCTGCCAATCACCCACACATGTGAGAGATTACTCCATTAACAGGCCTTGCTGGTGCTTCAAGCAGCTGTATGATATATGATTCTATAATCATGATATAAATACATACAATACCAGTCAAAAGTTTGGACACCTACTCATTCAAGGGTTTTTCTTTATTTTTACTATTTTCTACATTGTAGAATAATAGTGAAGACATCAAAACTATGAAATAACACATGGAATTATGTAGTAACCAAAAAAGTGTTTAAACAAATCAAAATATATGTTAGATTCTTCAAAGTAGCCACCCTTTGCCTTGATGACAGCTTTGCACACTCTTGGCATTCTCTCAACCAGCTTCATGAGGAATGATTTTCCAACAGTCATGAAGGAGTTCCCACATATGCTGAGCACTTGTTGGCTGCTTTTCCTTCACTCTGCAGTCCAACTCATCCCAAACCATCTCAATCGGGTTGAGGTCAGGTGATTATGGAGGCCAGGTCATCTGATGCAGCATTCCATCCCTCTCCTTGGTAAAATAGCCTTTACACAGCCTGGAGGTGTGTTTTGGGTCGTTGTCCTGTTGAAAAACAAATGATAGTCCCACTAAGTGCAAACCAGATGGGATGGCGTATCGCTGCAGAATGCTGTGGTAGCCATTGCTGGTTAAGTGTACCTTGAATTCTAAATAAATCACTGACAGTGTCACCAGCAAAGCACAATCACACTACCTCCTCCATGCTTCACGGTGGGAACCACACATGTGGAGATCATCCGTTCACATACTCTGTCTCTCACAAAGACACGGCAGTTGGAACCAAAAACCTCAAATTTGGACTCATCAGACCAAAGGACAGATTTCCACCGGTGTAATGTCTATTGCTCGTGTTTCTTGGCCCAAGCATGCCTCTTCTTATTGGTGTCCTTTAGTAGTGGTTTCTTTGCAGCAATTCGACCATGAAAGCCTGATTCATGCGGTCTCCTCTGAACAGTTGATGTTGAGATGTCTGTTACTTGAACTCTGTGAAGCATTTATTTGGGCTGCAATCTGAGGTGCAGTTAACTCTAATGAACTTATCCTCTGCAGCAGAGGTAACTTTGGGTCTTCCTTTCCTGTGGCAGTCCTCATGAGAGCCAGTTTCATCATAGCGCTTGATGGTTTTTGCGACTGCACTAGAAATATAAAATATATTTTGATTTGTTTAACACTTTTTGTGTGACTACATGATTCCATATGTGTTATTTCATAGTTTTGATGTCTTCACTATTATTCTACAATGTAGAAAATAGTAAAAATAAAGAAAAATCCTTGGAATGAGTAGGTCTGTCCAAACTTTTGACTGGTACTGTATGTAGGTGTGCAATAATGGCCTCTAGTAAAGAAAATAAACCCTGAATGTACGCAGCGCTAGTCTGCGGTTCCACCTGTCAGCACCTTGTGTTCAAAGTGTTCAGGCTGGGTTATAAATCAAGACTAGTGGAGGGGGACTATGAAACTGTAATTCTATTCCAGTTTCATTTCATTCTGAAATAGTATAAGGGATCAGTATGAGAAATGGCAGTACAAGGGGTGAAATGTTTATTACCAACTCAAGAGATTTGAGGGTAATGGTACTGTAACCACACAATGTTCAACATGGAATTATTTATTTACTAAATGGATGAAAATACAGTAAACATAAATGATGCATCTCTTCCTCCATGCCTACAGTGCATAGTCGCAGGGTTTTGGTCCGTTCAATGTCTTCGGTCCCATCCTCTCAGGATTTCAGTTCGCTCAGTGTCTTAGCTCCTACCCTGGTCCTTATGTGGCCTGTGAGCTGTTGTCCTCAGTGTTTAAGTGTCTGGTTTCTGGTTGGGGGCAGTGGCTGGAGCGGTGGCCTCCCTGCTAGGAACGTGTTGAGGGGAACCTCTGCCTCGTATGATTGTACCCCAACAGGACAGTGGCTGCGGTCCACCCTACCCCCTTCATCCTCCCTGGCCTCGGTGTTCTGGCTGTCATTGCAGGTGGAGGAGAGGGAGGACAGCTTGTGTCTTAGCTCAGCCTGGGTGGGAACCTGCAGTGTGATCTCTGTGGTTAACGACTCCACGTCTGGACCTGAGAGACAGAGGATGTATGTTTTGTGCAGTGCCCGAGAATTAATCAAAGTATGAAGTTGCTGTTTACTGTGCATGTCTGTTTACATGTGTGTCTGGGTCTGTGTGTCATACCCAGCATGGGCGAGGCAGCGCGGTTGTCCTCACCCCCAGAGTGGAGGAAGACGTCAAGGCTCTCATGGTCGGACATGTCCATCAGGTCCATCTGCTCCAGCATGTCTATGTTCACCTCCATGGATGAAAAGCTGCCTATTGGCCCTGAGCAGCAAGACACAGGTGTTAGTCACCAACGCATACAAAACTTCATCACCCAGAATGCAACGGCAAGGAGCTGAGTCCAGGAAGAGCCTTGAAGGCTTTTTGTTTTAAAACTCTCAAACACACTAAGGAAGAAATAAAAAGCCCAAACCATCTAACTACTCTTGGCAACAACAACAACAAATATATTTGAACCCACAACAAAGTCTTATATGCTAGCTAGCTAACTGACTATTCTTCTGGGGGTGGAAGTGGCTAAATCTGAATGAACAGAAACCGCAGATTCAGCGCCTGCTCACTACAAAACCCTCCCAAACCTTCAGATTATTCAAACACAACCTTCAAGAAATCATGTTACGTCAAAAGAACTGCGCTTAATCAGAATAATTTTTTTAATCTATCCTCACTGACTTGCCATAAACCCTGAAATGTTTCAAGATACAGTGCCTTGCATCCCCCTTGGCGTTTTTCCTATTTTGTTGCATTACAACCTGTAATTTAAATTGATTTTTATTTGGATTTCATGTAATGGACATACAGAAAATAGTCCAAATTGGTGAAGTGGAATGAAAAAAATAACTTGTTTAAAAAAATTATAATAAATAAATAACGGAAAAGCGGTGCATGCATATTTACTCACCCCCTTTGCTATGAAGCCCCTAAATAAGATGAAGATCAAGGAGCGCTCCAAACAGGTCAGGGACAAAGTTGTGGAGAAGTACAGATCACGGTTGGGTTATAAAAAAATATCAGAAACTTTGAACATCCCACAGAGCACCATTAAATCCATTATTAAAAAATTGAAAGAATATGGCACCACAACAAACCTGCCAAGAGAGGGCTGCCCACCTAAATTCACAGACCAGGCAAGGAGGGCATTAATCAGAGAGGCAAAAAAGAGACCAAAGATAACCCTGAAGGAGCTGCAAAGCTCCACAGCGGAGATTGGAGTATCTGTCCATAGGACCACTTTAAGCCGTACACGCCACAGAGCTGGGCTTTATGGAAGAGTGGCCAGAAAAAAGCCATTGCTTAAAGAAAAAAATAAGCAAACACGTTTGGTGTTCGCCAAAAGGCAGGTGGGAGACTCCCCAAACATATGGAAGAAGGTACTCTAGTCAGATGAGACTAAAATTGAGCTTTTTGGCCATCAAGGAAACCGCTATGTCTGGCGCAAACCCAATTTTTTAAAACATTTTAGTCATTTAGCAGACGCTCTTATCCAGAGCGACTTACAGTTAGTGAGTGCATACATTTTCATACTGGCCCCCCGCGGGAAATGAACCCACAACCCTGGCATTGCAAGCACCATGCTCTACCAACTGAGCTACAGGGGGCAACACCTCTCATCACCCCGAGAACACCATCCCCACAGTGAAGCATGGTGGTGGCAGCATCTTGCTGTAGGGATGTTTTTCATCGGCAGGGACTGGGAAACTGGTCAGAATTGAAGGAATGATGGATGGCACTAAATACAGGGAAATTCTTGAGGGAAACCTGTTTCAGTCTTCCAGAGATTTGAGACTGGGACGGATGTTCACTTTCCAGCAGGACAATAACCCTAAGCATACTGCTAAAGCAACACTCGAGTGGTTTAAGGGGAAACATTTACAGTGAGGGGAAAAAGTATTTGATCCCCTGCTGATTTTGTACGTTTGCCCACTGACAAAGAAATTATCCGTCTATAATTTTAATGGTAGTTTTATTTGAACAGTGAGAGATAGAATAACAACAACAAAAATCCAGAAAAACGCATGTCAAAAATTTTATAAATTAATTTGCATTTTAATGAGGGACATAAGTATTTGACCCCCTCTCAATCTGAAAGATTTCTGGCTCCCAGGTGTCTTTTATACAGGTAACGAGCTGAGATTAGGAACACACTCTTAAAGGGAGTGCTCCTAATCTCAGCTTGTTACCTTTATAAAAGACACCTGTCCACAGAAGCAATCAATCAATCAGATTCCAAACTCTCCACCATGGCCAAGACCAAAGAGCTCTCCAAGGATGTCAGGGACAAGATTGTAGACCTACACAAGGCTGGAATGGGCTACAAGACCATCGCCAAGCAGCTTGGTGAGAAGGTGACAACAGTTGGTGTGATTATTCGCAAATGGAAGGAACACAAAATAACTGTCAATCTCCCTCGGCCTGGGGCTCCATGCAAGATCTCACTTTGTTGAGTTGCAATGATCATGAGAACGGTGAGGAATCAGCCCAGAACTACACGGGGGGATCTTGTCAATGATCTCAAGGCAGCTGGGGCCATAGTCACCAAAAAAACAATTGGTAACACACTATGCCGTGAAGGACTGAAATCCTGCAGCGCCCGCAAGGTCCCCCTGCTCAAGAAAGCACATATACAGGGCCGTCTGAAGTTTGCCAATTAACATCTGAATGATTCAGAGGAGAACTGGGTGAAAGTGTTGTGGTCAGATGAGACCAAAATCGAGCTCTTTGGCATCAACTCAACTCGCCGTGTTTGGAGGAGGAGGAATGCTGCCGATGACCCCAAGAACACCATCCCCACCGTCAAACATGGAGGTGGAAACATTATGCTTTGTGGGTGTTTTTCTGCTAAGGGGACAGGACAACTTACCGCATCAAATGGACGATGGACGGGGCCATGTACTGTCAAATCGTGGGTGAGAACCTCCTTCCCTCAGCCAGGGCATTGAAAATGGGTCGTGGATGGGTATTCCAGCATGACAATGACCCAAAACACAGGCCAAGGCAACAAAGGAGTGGCTCAAGAAGAAGCACATTAAGATCCTGGAGTGGCCTAGCCAGTCTCCAGACCTTAATCCCATAGAAAATCTGTGGAGGGAGCTGAAGGTTCGAGTTGCCAAACGTCAGCGTCGAAACCTTAATGACTTGGAGAAGTTCTGCAAAGAGGAGTCCGACAAAATCCCTCCTGAGATGTGTGCAAACCTGGTGGCCAACTACAAGAAACGTCTGACCTCTGTGATTGCCAACAAGGGTTTTGCCACCAAGTACTAAGTCAAGTTTTGCAAAGGGGTCAAATAATTATTTCCCTCATTAAAATGCAAATCAATTGATAACATTTTTTACATGCGTTTTTCTGGATTTGTTTGTTGTTATTCTGTCTCTCACTGTTCAAACAAACCTACCATTAAAATTATAGACTGATCATGTCTTTGTCAGTGGGCAAACGTACAAAATCAGCAGGGGATCAAATACTTTTTTCCCTCACTGTATATGTCTTGGAATGGCCTAGTCAAAGCCCAGATCTCAATCCAATTGGGAATCTGTGGTATGACTTAAAGATTGCTGTACACCAGCGGAACCCATCCAACTTGAAGGAACTGGAGCAGTTTTGCCTTGAAGAATGGGTAAGTGGCTAGATGTGCCAAGCTTATAGAGACATACCCCAAGAGACTTGCAGCTGTAATTGCTGCAAAAGGTGGCTCTACAAAGTTTTGACTTTGGGGGGGGGGTGAATAATTATGCATGCTCAAGTTTTCTGTTTTTTTGTCTTATTTCTTGTTTGTTTCACAAAAAAAAATATTTTGCATCTTCAAAGTGGTAGGCATGTTGTGTAAATCAAATGATACAAACCCCCAAAAATCCATTTTAATTCCAGGTTGTAAGGCAACAAAACAGAATCTGTTGTAACACCGGTGTTATGATCATGTGGTGCATGCGTTACAAACACACAGTGCACTGTGAGGGATGATTGACAGCTGAGACGGCGTACCTCAAGGATACGAGGAGAGCAGGGCAGGGCAGCAGAGTGGGGCAGAGTAAAGAGAGAGGGAGCTGTTATTAGCCAGCCACACCCACACATGCACGCACACACAAATAGTGTTTTTCCAATGAGACTTACCCCCACACCAGTGGGTCGCCAGTGTTTTATGCTAATGAAGCTGTTATTGTGTTTACATCAACAGTGTGACACTAAAGACTTGTGGCGAGCAGAATCAACAACGTCTGCATCATTCAAATCTGTTATTTTGTGAGAAGGTGCAGGTCCGCCGGAGCCATGGCCCAGTAAAAACACGGGTTCTGGCCCGTGTAGATCGAAACAAAAAAGTCTGAACCTTTTGGGTAAAACACTGGGTTAAATCCTAATTGGAAATGCACCAGTACACACACACGCCATCTGTCACTGTGACCATACTTCTCCATTGAAGATGATAATAAGGCGTTAAGGTGGGTCTCTCACCTCTCCTCTCAGTGATTTGCAGGCAGCTGGTGGACAGGTACTGATCCATGTCTTGCTGGAATGCCTCTTCAAAGAACTTCTGCCTCTCCTTCAGATTCACCGGGGCAGGCTCCACCTCCTTTGGCTTCACCTGGGGAGGATCCACCTCCTTTAACTTCACCTGGGCAGGCTCCGCGTCCTTCACCTGGGGTGGCACCTTCTCCGCTACACAGGGCCGAGATATTTAAATTTTTCATTTAAAGGTCCAATGCAGCCATTTCTATCTCAATAGCAAATCATTTCTGGGTAAAAATGAAGTACCTTTCTGTGATTGTTTTCAATTAAAATGGTCAAAAATAAACAAAAATAGCTTCTTAAAAAATAAAAATGTCTCAAACAAGAATTTTGCTAGGACTTTCCGGGAGTGGTCTGAGCGGGAAGGGGAAAACTGAAAACTAGCTGTTATTGACAGAGAGGTTTGGAACTCTCTTTCGTATTGGTCTAGTCACCAGGCAGGCCAAAACTCCATCCCACCAAAACAGGCTAACATTTCAGGCAGTCTTTTCAAACAGCTCATACATTAAAAGGGCATTATCATTTTCTCAATTTCACAGTATTATTCCAACCTCATAGTGTGGAAATATATATAAAACACAAGAAAATCACGTTTTTGACCATCTCTGTCTGTCTGGATGATGACAGAGCCTGGAGATTTAGACGACACAGTGTCACTTCTGCTGACTGTTTCTCTCAGACAGGGAGAGTCCGTTATATAAGAACGATCTAAGACACGAAAGGGAGAGAGGGAGAAAGAAAGAGAGAGGGTACAGTTGACGTGCCCATTATCAGCAGCTATCTCCAATCTCTCTCCCCCTTTCTTTCTTTCGCTACCCCTCTTTCTCTCCATCACTCACTGTTGCCCTTCCACTCTTTTTCTTTGTATGTGTGCTGCTGAGTGTGGTTGGTGTGTGTGTGTACAGTATTTGAGTGTCTGTGATTTTCTTATGTGTTTGTTTTTGCATGCATGCGTGTATGTGTGCTTGTGTACGTGCATACATGTGTGTGTTGTGCTTTGTTTGAGGATGAATTAAAGGTAGTGGGGTTCCTAAGGGACTCCAGTGTGTTTCCTTACTGTGGTTAGTTGGCTCCAACTTTGTTAACCCTAAGAAATAAAGATATTCTGCCCTTGTAGAATGTGTCTCCACTCGACTTGACATAATACAATTGCACGCATGTTGTAAATATGAAATCAGTCATATGTACTGTGCCAAGAGGTTTGAATCATGTCCCGGACCTGCTGTTTTCGACCCACTCTCTCCCTCTCCCTCTCTCTCTCTCTCTCTCTCTCTCTCCCTCCCTCTCTCTCTCTCTCTCTCTCTCTCTCTCTACCACACATGCTGTCTCGACCTCTGAATGCTCGGCTATTAAAAGCCAACTGACATTTACTCCTGAGGTGCTGACCTGTTGCACCCTCTACAACCACTGTGATTATTATTTTACCCTGCTGGTCATCTATGAACGTTTGAACATCTTGAAGAACGATATGGCCTTAATGGCCATGTACTCTTATAATCTCCCCCCAGCACAGCCAGAAGAGGATTGGCCACCCCTCAGAGCCTGGTTCCTCTCTAGGTTTCTTTCTAAGTTCCTGCCTTTCTAAGGAGTTTTTCCTATCCTGCTTCTACATCTGCATTGCTTGCTGTTTGGGTTTTTAGGCTGGGTTTCTGAACATGCACTTTGTGACATCTGCTGATGTAAAAAGGGCTTTATAAATACACTTGATTGATTGATCATGTTAGTCACCGTATATGCTATCAAATAAGATATTTTTATGTTGACTGATGAAAAAATCTGCATTTATAGACATTAGTATTCCATCCCAACATATTCCACCCACACCAACAAACAGAGGTGTGTGCATATTACTATTACTGCATAACAACTCTTAATGGGTTGTAATCAGAATGGATGACCAAGGTTCACTGATAAAGCATATAAGCAGAACAATTATGTTAGTATTCTGTGAGAGGGTTTTGGCTGGGCCTCTATGAAACTGGACATCATTATCTGATTGCAGCGCTCCATTTAGAATGTTGCCAGACTACACAATCGAGTTTCCTTGTCCAGCCCAATAGCGGAAAGTAGGCTAATGCAAGCACATCCCACCACAGAGGCAACAGATTAGCAATAAACACCATTCATCAGGACACATTATTCACAATATAGTACAATGCTGACAATTTCCCCCCTTATTCTTCTGAAACGCATCAGCTCAAATTATTGTCTATTATTAGATTAAAAATACAAATAATTAATGGATTGTCTACTCTGAGATTAATTTGTTATGCCTGGTTAAAAGGCAGATTTTCACTCAAAGAAAAAACTGCTGGCCTGATGAAGCTCACATTCTTGACAGTTGTAGCAGTGCATTTATGCAATGTTACTTTTAGATTGCAGGCATCTTTCTCTCAAGTGTTCAGATTTCCAGCAAGGCAGTAGCCAACATGAAAATAACTCACGCTGTTAATAGTGGAGAGTTAGCAGTAAAGGACAGTAAACAGTAGTGGAGAGTTCGTACGGGTTATGGTTAGTGATTGAGGCTAGGGTTGAACCGGGATGTGGACATAAAGCTTGGGTTAAGGTTAGGGTCGTGGTTGACGCTAGGGTTAATGCTGAACCGGGATGTGGACATGAAGCTAGGGTTAGGTTTGAGGGTTAGGGTTGAACTGGGATGTGGACATGAAGCTAGTGTTAGGGTTAGGGTTATGGTTGAGGGTTAGGTTTAAACTGGGATGTGGGCATGAATTTTTATTTATTTATTTTATTTAACCTTTATTTAACCAGGTAAGCCAGTTGAGAATTTCTCATTTACAACTGCGACCTGGCCAAGATAAAGCAAAGCAGTGTGATAAAAACAACAACAACACAGAGTTACACATGGGATAAACAAAACATACAGTCAAAAACACAATAGAAAATCTATATACAGTGTGTGCAAATGTAGTAAGTTATGGAGGTAAGGCAATAAATAGGCCGTATGTTATTTGTCTACCTTGGACTTCACGTTTCGTTTGTTGTTTTGTCGTGTGTTCAGTACGTAAATAAATCTGAATACATATCACGCTGCGCCTTGGTCCTTCTCGTTCATGAACGATCGTGACAGAAGATCCCACCAAAATAGGACCAAGCAGCGTGTCCAGGAGCAGACAGCCTGGACCTGGGAGGAGATCCTGGACGGGAAGGGATCCTGGACTTGGGAGGAGATTCAGGCCGGGATGGATCGCTGTCCTTGGGAGGAGACAGTGGAGGCGCGATATAGAGAGGAGCAGCGGCAACGCGAACGGCGCCAACAGTGGCGACGACGGAGACCCGAGAGGCAACCCAAAGAAAACATTTTTTTTTGGGGGGGGGGGCACACGGTGTGGACGACGAGGCAGCAGGAGGCAGCCAGGTTACGGGGGCTATTGGTTCAGAGGGAGCAGGAGTTATTTGGTCAGAGGGAGGAGCTACAGTAGGCTATAAGGGAGAAGGAGAGTGCAGAGGCACGGCGAGAGGAGCTGGTTAGGCAGCAGAAGGAGCGGGGGTTTATAAGGGAACCCAGTCCCGCTCCTCGCACCAAGCAAGTGGTGCGTGTCGCCAGTCCGGTCCGGCCCGTTCCTGATCCCCGCACTAAGCCTGTGGTGCGTGTTCCCAGTACGGCCCGACCCATTCCTACTTCCCGCACAAGGCCAGTGGTGTGTGTTCCCAGTACGGTCCGGCCCGTTCCTGCTCCCCGCACTAAGCCAGTGGTGCGTGTTCCCAGTACGGCCCGACCCGTTCCTGCTCCCCGCATTAAGCCAGTGGTGTGTGTTCCCAGTACGGTCCGGCCCGTTCCTGCTCCCCGCACTAAGCCAGTGGTGCGTGTTCCCAGTACGGCCCGACCCATTCCTACTTCCCGCACAAGGCCAGTGGTGTGTGTTCCCAGTACGGTCCGGCCCGTTCCTGCTCCCCGCACTAAGCCAGTGGTGCGTGTTCCCAGTACGGCCCGACCCGTTCCTGCTCCCCGCATTAAGCCAGTGGTGTGTGTTCCCAGTACGGTCCGGCCCGTTCCTGCTCCCCGCACTAAGCCAGTGGTGCGTGTTCCCAGTACGGCCCGACCCGTTCCTGCTCCCCGCACTAAGCCAGTGGTGCGCGTCGCCAGCCCGGTCCGGCCTGTTCCTGCTCCCCGCACTAAGCCAGTGGTGCGCGTCGCCAGCCCGGTCCGGCCTGTTCCTGTCCCTCGCACCAAACCTGTGGTGCGCGTCGCCAGCCCGGCCCGGCCTGTTCCTGTCCCTCGCACCAAGCCAGTGGTGCGCGTCGCCAGCCCGGCCCGGCCTGTTCCTGCCCCTCGCACCAAGCCAGTGGTGCGCATCGCCAGCCCGGTCTGTTCCTGTCCCTCGCACCAAGCCAGTGGTGCGCATCGCCAGCCCGGTCCGGCCTGTTCCTGTCCGTCGCACCAAGGCAGTGGTGTGCGTCGCCAGCCCGGCCCGGCCTGTTCCTGCCCCTCGCACCAAGCCAGTGGTGCGCGTCGCCAGCCCGGCCCGGCCTGTTCCTGCTCCCCGCACTAGGACAGTGGTGCGCGTCGCCAGTCCGGTGCGGCCCGTTCCTGCTCCCCGCACCGGGCCGCTGGTGCGCGTCATCAGCCCGGTCCGGCCCGTTCCTGCTTCCTGCATCAAGCCAGTGGTGCGTGTGTCCAGTCCGGCACGGCCCGTGCCTGTTCCACCGGTGCCTGGTCCGGCACCGGTCAGCTGCTCCACTCTGGAGCCAGAGCAATCCGCTCCACCGGGGTCCGGTCCAACTCCGGTCAGCGGATCCCCTCTGGAGCCAGAGCAATCCGCTCCACCGGGGTCCAGTCCAGCTCCGGTCAGCGGCTCCACTCTGGAGCCAGAGCAGTCCGCTCCACCGGTGCCTGATCCAGCTCCGGTCAGCGGCTCGATCCACCGTCGTCGGGTCCAGCTCCAGACAGCGGTTCTAGTCCAGATCCAGACGTCAGCCCCTCTCCAGGTTCGGGGTCTCCCACACCAGGGTCCAGACAGGGCTTGGTACGTCGTGGGAGGAAGGAGAGGGGAAGCAGCGCGCCGAGGTCCAGACCAGACCAGGGGCGCAACAGGGAGGTGGAGAGTAAGTGGTGGTCACGCCCGGAGCCGGATCCTACCCTGTTAT